AGGTTTAATAAACGGCGACTACTGTGTAGGTCAAAAATGCCAGAGCGTTTAAAATACAACATAATAAATGTTTACTGTTTGTCCTCTGCCTTATTCTTATGCACCCTCTCGCCATCATATAAATAAGATGAACGAATCAGGAAAAATGTACAAAACCAGTCAGAGAATTTTGCAAAAAAACATCAAATTCGAAGACGGGATCTGTGGTTGCCAAGCTCATTATATTTGCTCGTCAACTGCGTCCAAAATGTGACTAAGGCAAGGCATGGGATCGGCTAAACATGGTAGAAGAAGGCTTCTAAGGTTTGCAAATTCTCAATGTGCAGCAGCTCCTCGTCTGAGCATCGTGGGAGATTAAATTACCTTACAAGTAGTATGAGAGGAATTATGTTCTGATGAGAAACTTAAACCAGGTGTGGAATATGCATCCACGTCTTTTCTCGGAAACGTGGTTAAGGTTTTCTGTGCTTCAGAGCAATTTTGACAAATTGTCAGCATCGGTTTGTGTAAAACGCGGGTAGACTTTACTCTGTTGCATACGGCTAAGGCTAATTGTCACGTTGTTCATTTTTTGAATACTTTGCACCCAGAGCTGCTAATTTTAGAATAAGTGTGGGCGTCAGAGTTAAAATAACATTGCTTGTTTTCTATTTTTGTCGCATGGGAACGTGATATATTTCCGCACGAGTCTTTATTTAAGGGGGAATTAGAAAAAACAACTTTACCATAACTTCAAAAAATAAATAATCTGTCAAAAATAGACAAACGTCTTTTGACGCCCGGTAAATTACGAACAATATTATTGAACAATTTTCCATTTACTTCCGTATGGCTGCACATATTTATGCACGTAGAATTACAGAACAGTACTCTGTTTGGCAAAGTCGAAGACTTAGGCCGTTTTTCAGAGACAGGCAGGGATGCCGAAATGATAATCGATGTTTGTCAGTGTCCTAATGTCCTTGGAATCAATAAAAACAAAGGTTCAAGCATACACGACGATCGTCCCCAAACCACATCAGAACCCCAAGCTCCAGTGAAGATATAAAACGGACTATTTCACACTTGGTAGCCATAATTTGACCTTGCTGTCAATACTCGTCTGGCCATTCACAGGCTACCTAAACGAGATAATAAGTAACATCGTAATGGAAAGAACAGCAGTTTCTAAATCAGCTAGTTAACTGTTATTCGCCACTGAACTAAGAGCGTTGCCTACGGAGTGACGGTGCAACCAGGTCCTACGTCGTATCGATAAATTTCGTACGATGAAGCTGTACGCACAAGTCAAGGTGAATTTTGTCATTTTAAGTATACACTTAACGTCTTCGTTGACATCTGCCAAATCCCCCGAGAGTATAAGAGATTTTATAATGGGAACTGGTCCTCTAAGAAACGGGGACACAGGAAACTGGGATACGACTACAGAAAACAAAAAAATCCCGGGTTTTATAATATCTGAGGACGGTTAATCGTTGCATGCAAACGTTTAACGTCAATAAATTTAGGGGATAAAATGTGCACACAATCTCGTCAGAAGTTTGCAACGCTGACCTGCAGGTACTAACCAACACAATACGCAACGTATGCTTCTTCCGAATTATTTCATTTACCTCTTAGTCATGCAGTTTAGCTTGTATAGTAAATATATATAACACTGCCATAACACCATTATCTTCGTCCACTGTTTTTTTGTCTGAAGGCTAGATATGACGACTAGGTAGGTTCATTGAACAATTCCACTTTTTAGGGAAATTTAGCACTAGGCTTTTAGCAGCTGTGCATGTGTACAGTCACTATTCGATGGATTTCCAAGTCCTTCAACACGTATTTCCTGACAAATCCTGAAAGTAATTCAAACTTCCGTTGGCACACTGCTTCATTGTCTCAAATTTCTTAAACGATTTCCTCACGAAGATTCCCGCGCGACGGAAAACTCGGCTCACATATGTTGACTATTTCAAAAATCATGACTAGCAGGCATTAAGAGTTTTGATCAAACCTTTTTTAAGTTAGTCAAACTGGTCCTACCTACAAGGAATGAAGCTGCGCATATTGAGTGCACCTTATCCATAATGTAGAAAGCGCTGGAGCCATCGAAAAGAGAATAATATTGGTACGCGTATTTGCAAAATTGTGGACGAAGACACGAAAATTAAAGAGCTCGCTTGATTTGAATTGGTAGACGAGAAACTACAAATTATTTTACCATTAAGGGAAGCACATGGGTATGCCTGTGATCTTAGATGATACCGAGAATTAAAGCTTTTTAGGGGTGCTCCTACTGTTGACATTCCATCATATTGCTTGAGCGGGCCTTTCAAATTAAGCCACCATTTTCCTCCCTCTATTCGCATGTAAATGTTCGTGTATACACGTCGGTGGGCCTAATTCGCTCTTTATAAACTGATATTCATCCCTCTATGTTCATTTGAACTAAAATGAGGTCATAAGTACACGACGCTAACGCCGTTTTGAAAACAGTCTAATTGGTCTATATTTGACGAATTTTCCAAGGACATTTATCTACGATGTCGACATGTGCAGTCATTAACGATTATGAATTGCCTTTGCTTTCCCGATGTTGTAAGTATGTGCGCCTAATTTTATTCCCTGAGAATGGAAGACACTTTTCTGGAAATTTTGGAATGAGATTTTCCGAATAAAGCCTAGCTCTCTATATCATTGACTTAGTAAAGCAGTTAAACTTTTTCCAATGAACCCCAGTTTACCCATTCTTCTACACTGTCATAGTTGGGTCTTTTGGATCTGTTAAGCTGCAGCACACTATTCCTCCCTGTCAACTTACATTTGGTTCCGATCAGTCTCGTAGCCACAGCTGTCGTGTTCTTACAAAGTTCGATAATGAGCGCTCAAGTTTGGACATGTAGGCTTCTGTAGTTAACCTCAGTAGTGTTAAGTAAAGGAAAAGGCACACTCGTCGGGACTTATTTTAACGGGACGTTGCCCGGAAGAGTGTATGCAGCTAAGATATTCAAATCCCCTGAAGAGCTGTATAGATGTTTGATCACGCCAAACGTCCCGTTAGCACATGCTCTCCTATTTGGGTTGAACTGAATTTGCCTGAAACCTTAATTACTAATGTTTGCGCCAATGGCGTGGGTCAGTGGACACCTATACTAAGTCAGCCGCTGCGCCCAGTCTTAAAACGAGTCAGCAGAACGTTGCGGACATGGCCAGGGTGCATGGAAAAGAGCTTTGGCGGTGTCCTCTTTGACAATCAGACAAACAGTCTTTTCACTGCCCTATCGTCAAAAGCGCATGAGATTATTTGTGCCCATTAAAACTCGTGTCTTGGAGGACGACCAGCTGAGGAGACGCTCGTTTCTTTTGTGGATCACGAGTCAAATCGTAATGGCTTCATTGCAATGTGTCCTTTATTATATGTTCACCTGTACGAAAACTGGGACGCTAAACTGTCCTGAAGCCTGGTTTGCGACGTAACCTTGGAGCTATGCAGGTTTGAGCCACTGGAAAGTAATGCACTTGTAGACCGTTTAAATGCCTTTGTAGAGGTAGTCGTGAGTTCCGCTACAGTTTTCGCTAAACTTAATCTAACTTCACTAAACTGTGCGTGCATCCACGCCAGGAAAACAAATTAATTTAGATGAAAAGTGGGGCAAAAATGTCAAAACATCAGTTAAATTAGTTTGGTTGAGTAGAGACGTAAAAGTGAACCTTTTCCCATGATAAAAGTGGAAGTGGACCT